ATAGATGTCAACATTAGCGGTTAATGATATAACAATGCACTGTTAAGATGGTTTGTCAATATGGACAAAGAATTTATGCAACAATAGATAAAAATCAGTGCATTTTATATCAACTTTGCTACTTCCTTTCATGGGGTCTCTGAATTTCTTCACTCTAAACGAATGGTTGTATGTACAAGTTTATACAGACATTATTGTTGCCAATAAAAAATCGCCAGATGGTATTTATTTTTGCCGCCAATACATGAAATAAATCGCAATTTGTGATATTGGCGAAGTACAGCATGATTCTTGAAAAAATGTTTATATATTATTTATCGTACTTTAAGAAGAAAAAACAGTTTTCGTGTATGAGAAAAAATGCATATAAAATATAATCAGCCATGCCACAATTGTCTTCTATTATTCATACACGATCTCTTCCCTAAAATGATAATAAACTTCCTTTGTTTTTTTTGTGTGCTTCGAAAAAGATTTTTTTTGTCGTGTACGATAAAAATACATGTATATGAAATTTCAGGAGCCACACCACGATCGTGTTATATCCGAATTCATGTTATGCTGAATTTGTTGGTATTGCTTATTTTTTTATTAAGTTTAAAACCATAGATTCATAACCGACATTTTTAAAGCTTGTTTGGGGTCTGAAGTTCATTAGAACATTTCACAGAAATTAAAATTCCATTTGAAATTTAAAATGATTCTGTTTTTTTGAATTTTCATTGTTTCTGGTAAGGATTTCAGTTTCACTTCCTTAAGACATCGTTCGTGAAACCAACAAGCTTTCACAATTTCATCTAAAGTGGAGAAATATGTTAAGTGCTGTCAAGGAAGGGTCTTTGAAAAAAGATGTGTTGCTTGAGCTTTTCATATATTATGATCATTCTGAAGCGAAGGTTTCCTTCATGGTGCAAGAGATAAAGAATATTTTGGTTCATAATTTCATGGAGAGAAGGGAAGCGCTTAGTATTTATTTGGTTTTGGTAGGAAATTTAAAGTTACAATTAAAAAACCAGAATGAATTAGAGTTATAAAGATTCAGATTCAGAACAAAATGATGGAAATGCAAGGTTGGAAAGAGGAAAAGGAAAGAGAATGAAAATCCAGAGACAGGAATGGGAGAGGTAGAGAGAAAAGAAGATAGAAATAAAAATGCAGAGAAGTGGAGAGACAGAAGGATCAAAAGGAAAGAGAACATATTTTAAATGAATTAGAATTGCAAGGCAGAGTATAATCCCCCACCTCCTTTAAACACAACTTCAGTTTTTAATGTCACCAGAAATATTAGTACCAAATCAGGTAATAAATACTTGTTGACCATAATGTGAGCATTCACAAGATTTCCAGAGTAAAAGCTTTTGAGTAATTTTAAAACTAAAACCTTAGTAAAAGCTTTAATAAAGTCCCATCCCCCTTTGGCCTTCCTAAATGTATCCAGTTTGATCAAGGGTCAAATTTTATGTCTCTAATTTTCAAGCAAGTAATGCAAAAGCTAGGCATCGGACAGTCTAAACATTCTGCCTCACAATCAAGGCGTGTTTGGAAAGATTTCATCAGACTTTGAAGAATATGATTCTGTCATATTGTTTTGATACATGAAATGATTGGGATGATGATGTTGTCAGTTTATTGCTTTTAGCCTGATCAATCCCTGACACATGCGATCCCTTGTTGGATCCAGAACACTTTAAAGGATTGTTATTGTCCATATGATTTGTGTGTGTATGTGTGTGTGTCCTTTAATTCTCATTATGCATATTTGCATTTAACATTGAGTGTAAGCAGTACTTTGTCTTCAAATTCTCCATGTTGTATGTATATTATGAAAACATTTTGTAAGTGTATGAATGTATATCACATTTAGTAAGTGTGCAAATTTAGCATCACAATTTGTAAGTGTGTAAATGTACCATCACATTGTATAAGTGTGTGAATTTATCATCACATTTTGTAAGTGTGTGAATGTATCATCGCATTTTGTAAGTGTAAATGTACCATCACATTGTATAAGTGTGTGAATGTATCATCACATTTTGTAAGTGTGTAAATGTACCATCACATTGTATAAGTGAATGTATCATCACATTTTGTAAGTGTGTAAATGTACCATCACATTGTATAAGTGTGAATGTATCATCACATTTTGTAAGTGTGTGAATGTATCATCACATTTTGTAAGTGTGTGAATGTATCATCACATTTTGTAAGTGTGAATGTATCATCACATTTTGTAAGTGTGTGAATGTATCATTACATTTTGTAAGTGTAAATGTACCATCACATTGTATAAGTGTGTGAATGTATCATCACAATATGTAAGTGTAAATGTACCATCACATTGTATAAGTGCGTGAATGTGCCATCATGTGTTGTAAGTGTATGACTGTGTCATCACTTTTTGTAAGTGTTCAAATGTACCATCACATTGTATAAGTGTGTGAATGTATCATCACTTTTTGTAAGTGTGTAAATGTACCATCACATTGTATAAGTGTGTGAATGTGCCATCACATGTTGTAAGTGCATGACTGTATCATCACTTTTTGTAAGTGTGTAAATGTATCATCACCTTTTGTAAGTGTATGAATGTACAATCACATTTTGTAAGTGTGTGAATGTATCATACTTGTATGCAGTATATTTATACTTGAAAATTTATGTTTAGATGGAGAGAAATATGCACTGTATTTTGGCATTATGACTGAAAACAACAACATTGTACTTAATTTTAACATATGAAGTACCCAGATTACACAAATTTAATTACAGATAGGTGAATATACTTAAGTGACTGCCACATAAAATTAACTTAAATTTTTTGTTAGTTTTTGCACTAGAAAATGGCAGTCAACATTTTGAAACTAGTTTGAAACCCCTTATAGCACCTCATCCTTCATGTCTTCGGCATGATGCCCCAGTGCTAGACATCACTATAAACTGCCACAATGCAGACATCATAGCAATATGACTAAAAAACTGTTGAAGCTACGTTAAAAATCATAATCACATCCTTATAGCACACACAAAAGAGCACATATATACACATCTTCAACATTGTTATCTTCATCTATTTATTGATGTGTGATCCAGGTCCATTTTTGAGGAAGGCTATTATAAATTATGAAACTTTTAACTGTCATTTTTTGTGAAGCTTTTAATAGTATAAAACTTAAATTGCTTGTTTTAGTGGCACTTAATTAACTATTTATGCATATTTGTAAATACAATGCAATCTAGGCAAAGCACTACTTTAGCTATTCATTGAAACTGAAGCACTATGATAACAGAATCTTCAAAAATATGAATATGAAATTATGGCATGACACATGCCATGTAGTTTCATCTATTTATAGAAATGGATTGTCTCCATATGACTATCCTCTTTCTAGCACTGCAATTCCAAGATGGGATTGAAAAATTTATCGTTTTAATTTTTTATTCCTGCTCATGGTTGTGTACTGGTTGGATAATTTTTGTTGCTTCTTTTTTATATTTGTAACATTTTTTATATGTAACATGGATGATACATTGCTTTTTGATTTCATGACAGAGTATTTTCCCAAGCATTTCTGATCAACAAATTTTTATTTCTAAGGTTAACTTTTTATCACATAATAGTTACACATTGCTTTCTATGATATATGTAATTTCCTTAATGTATGTGTCAAATGAATTATAAGTGTAATGAAAATGTACATCTATTATTACCCCTCGGCCTACTAACTCATTTTATGAAGAAAATAATGCAAGCAATGGAGTTATAATCTTTAAAATATGCATTTAGAAAGTGCTTTCACAAATTCTATTCTTAAAACACAAATTATTATTTACATACAGACCATTTAGTTTCAAAACACAAGTTTTCATCATAAAATGATGACTTGCAGAAATCTGGCAGTTATATCCTGTGGGGGAGGGAGAGTTAATGGCCAGTCAAAAGTATGTTTCATATGCACACCTGTTCAAGGCAATATGCAATCCATTTCATTTAACACAAGCTACTTGGCTGGATTGAGGGAGCATCTCAGGTGTCATCAACTACTGTCATCTTACAGAATGACAGGTGAAGTCAGTTTTGCTCATCTAATATAAGAAGACCAAGTTTACATTTTTCTGTGACATAGTTGCCCACTTTGACTGGTACAATAACTCTGATTTATATTTTAACTTGTTAATATAATTTTAATCTTAATATTAGGATATATATGGGATTCATCAACTTTCATGTCCTAACCTAATTACAGGCAGTTTGTGAATTCTGCCCAGATTGCCAACCCTAAACAATCAGCATCACAGATTATTTTAATGTAGATCACTGATTTGAAAGCGATTAGATGATAATGATTTAATATTATATACCTGTGAGAACTGACTTAGTGAGTTTGGAAATAAAATGGACTCATCTCTAACGACTAGCCACCTCAAATCTAGCACACACAAGCAGTGTTTATCATTTATTGTTCACATCATTATTACAGGATATGGATACATGCCTATGTCTGGAAAATAATTAAATGGATTCAAATAACTATTCTCAAATCATTTTCAAAGTCAACTTATCAGAGTCGCTTTAGATGCATGTTACCAATTTCAGGGTGAAAACTGATGTTGAAGTGGAAACAGACGTGAGTAGACACATCCCAGGAAAAGCAAAGATTGAATTAATTGACAATGGCATGTGTTCCTTATTTCATACTGGATTTAATATTAAAATTGGCATGATCAATTGAACTTTAAATGGAAAATATAGATAAAGAAAACATTATTATTTATTTTCTGATTCAAATTTAATTAACACTCTTCTGTTTTTGGCTGTATACATTTTCAGTTTCAGATATTTTTCCTAATTATTACTCTCTTAAAAATCTATCCATTTCTCATGCCCATATCTATCTATTTATTTATTTATCCATTGTTATATATGTATATGGCTGTATTTTGCTGCTGTAACTCTATTCCAATTCTAACCATTTCTTTTTTTTACTTAACTTATTTATCACCACTTTGGTGGCCTAGTGGTTAGAGCATCTGCCTCGGATGCAGGAGGTCGTGGGTTCTATCCCTGGTCAAGTCATACCAAAGCTTGTGGTACTAACAGCTACATCACTTGATGTTCAGCATTAGAGGTTAGTGTTAGGACTGGTCGGCCTGGTGTCAGGATAATGTGACTGGGTGGGACATCATGCTACATGTCTGTGGTATGATGCCCCATTCTAGACATCACTATAAACTGCCTCGCTGCAGATATCAAAGCAATATGACTGAAAAATTGTTAAAGCTACATTAAAAATCACATCAGATCACACTTATTCATCTATTTACATATACTGTTTACATTCATCTTTATTGATAAATATAATTATTTATATTGTTTTAAGGTATAAACAAAATAACAAGAAAAGTTCTATGTTCATAAATATATGTTTTCTTAAAATATGGTATACTTTAATTTGCTATATTTATTTGAACTTTAGTTCATATTTTGGAAAACGCTTGGGCAAGTTCAATTTGCCAGCCATTATGCCCAGGGCAAGCTGACTTTGCAAAGCCCTGACCATGTTTAGAGTATGTCTATGCATGATTTTAATTTCAGGTTATGCTTTATGAAAAGTGGAAGTGTTTTTTAAATTTTGATCTGAATCTAGGAAAAATACAAAATTCTTTAAAAGATTGGTATGACTCATCTGTATTTCATGGTAGTAATATAATATTTCCCTATTTCAGAAGAATGTGATTATGGATCAGCAAAATTCTATATACTATGTTGGGTTGGTGGAATACCGAGTTGTGGCATCACTCACACAGCAGTCTTCCTCTTGACCTGGTAAGTAAATCCAAAGAAATATGTTGGTATTTTCAGTGGATTTAGTTTGACAGTTCAAGAAGAAGGGTTAAGGGCACTTGAAAAAGGTTGGGCTCCAACAAAAATTGGTTACTCTGCACAAGTAGTCTGTAAATTTGGTTTCTATGAAATTTTCAAAATTGTGTATGCCAGCTTTCTGGGAGAGGTTAGTATGAATATTTAGCCATATTTTATATGTAGAATTGCCTAGATCAGTAGAAGTTCAATGGATGAGAATATTAATGTCAGATCATGATTTTTAACACGTATCATCTGAGGTGTTGTTAAGTGCTGCATCGATTTTCAAATAAAAGCTGGTGAATCAGTAATTGTTCCCAAATAAATAAAATGCAGTTCAAATGCCCCCTGATGTGCATGTTTTGGGAAGGATGAATAAAATGAAACTTTCAAAATAATAACATTGATGATGGGGTTTCAGATGACAAACCTTTGAGGACAAGTCATTTGTTGTTACTTTTACCCAGTCATCCTGTGACCCAATAGATTATAACTGTTGATGTCACTAAATGAATACAAACCAGTTTATGTTTTTATGTGTCAGCATTTTCATAGTTGTATTACTTTGGCATAAATTCTTACATAAACATTTTCATATCTTACTGCACTTTACCAATAGCAGGCAAATACACTGTTAGTTGGTAGCAAAGGAAGGAATCCAGTCTGCACAGACATATTTTTAGGGCAAAAACTGGTAGTTATTTTCAGACAACTTCAAGAGACAAGTTACAGACTAAAGACATGGGATTTATACCAAAAGATCATAGACTGGGGATATTTACCAATAGACAATAGACTGGGGATTTAGACCAATATATCATAGACTGAGGATTTAGACCAATAGACCATAGACTTGGATTTAGATCAACAGACAATAGATTGGGAATTTAGACCAATAGACCATAGACTGGGGGTTTAGACCAAAAGACCATAGACTGGGGACTTAGACCAATAGACCATAGACTGGAGATTAAACCAATATACCAAAGACTTGGGATTTAGACCAATAGACTATAGACTGGGGATTTAGACCATTAGACCATAGACTGGGGATTCTGACCAATATATCATAGACTGGGGATTTAGACCAGTAGATCATAGACTGGGGATTTAGACCAATAGACCATAGACTTGGATTTAGATCAATAGACAAAAGACTGGGGATTTAGACCAATAGACCATAGACTGGGGATTTAGACCAATAGACCTTAGACTAGGGATTTAGACCAATAGGCCATAGACTGGGGATTTAGACCAATAAACCATAGACTATGGATTTAGACCAATAGGCCATAGACTGGGGATTTAGACCAATATACCATAGACTGGGGATTAGACCAATAGGCCATAGACCAGGGATTTAGACAAATAGACCATAGACTATGGATTTAGACCAATAGGCCATAGACTGGGGTTTACACCAATAGACCATAGACTGGGGATTTAGATCAATAGACCATAGACTGGGGATTTAGACCAATAGACCATAGACTGGGGATTTAGACTAATAGACTATAGACTGGGGATTTAGAATAATAGACCATAGACTGGGGATTTAGACCAATAGACCAAAGACTGGGGATTTAGACCAATTGACTATAGACTGGAGATTTAGATCAATAGACCATAGACAGGATTTACACCAATAGACCATAGACTGGGGATTTAGACCAATAGACTATAGACTGGGGATTTAGACCAATAGACCATAGACTGGGGATTTAGACCAATAGACCATAGACTGGGGATTTAGAACTGATAACTAGGCTATCCTAATATTGTGAAATATTTGGCTGGTAAAAAATGTAAAAGAATTTATTTCTGGTTTCATTATTTACATTATCTGATTGTTTGTTTGGACAAATGTTTTCTGGTTGGTGATGAATAACTCAAATTGAGAACATTGATCTGAACTTTTTTGTATGATCAGCTGTTGACAGAAGTCTTATATCAGAATGAATAAAAATTCCTGTATAGCACACAACTGATGTAGTGTTGAGTAAGCTGGAAGATATTTTTAAAAAAATGAAATAAAATAAAATCAAAATATTTTGCTATCCAAACAAATATAAGACTGACCTAAGTAACTGGTTTTCTAAGAGATTTTTAAGATTTAATTTAACTTCAAGGCTTAGCTTTCAAATTGGAAATGGGTTGATGTCAGATAAGATGGGTTCACATATTTGAGATGTTCCCAATATAGTTCAGGACAGACTTTGCATGTTGTTTTTCTTGTTACTGTATTTTGACTCCATTCTGCATGCATAGTGGGTGTCCAAAATAGCCTTACACAAGTCATATTGACTCTTTCATATTGACACTCTCTCCTTTATCATACACTTTTACTAATGTACAAAATGTTGTTGTTTGCAGGTGTTAGCAGATTGGTCACTATACATCCAAGAATGACCAATTCTTTAATCATTTTACATCTTATATTATGCCGTTATTGCTTTTCATAATGGAGGCAAATGTTGAGTAATGCTTGTACAGTATTTGCAAGAAACTTACATGCAGATAGTGAGACAGAAATGGTCTTTGCTGAGTTTTGTGCTTTTATTTCACCTTCAAATTATGTGTGACTGTGTGCATAAATAGTATATTGAAAAGAAAAAGATTATTTTATATTTTGTTATATTCAACATATATTTAGGTTCAATCCTATGAAAGTTACAATATGAATTAGGCATCTAATTTCCATTACAACGACTTCAATCTGATCGTTAAGCATCAGACAAGAATGAGGCATATCAAGAAATATTTTATCAATGATGAACATAAAATTCACCTGACGACATGTGTCAGTCAATTATTTTCTCCAATTATTTTTTACAACCAGGCAACAGCCCTCTATGCATCAGTTTTCAACAGACAGACCTTCTCTGCATGTCCTGATGAGTTTTGTTACTTTCCATGATCAAGTCCTTGCTTTTGTCTTAAATGATATGGCGAAAAGCTCACTCACAAGAAGTGTTGTCAGTGTGTATACTTTATCAGTACACAGTAATCTGGAAACATGTCCCTGTATCAATCAATTATTTCCTGATAGGCACATTTTATTGGCTTAACAGGGAATTTCTTAAGCACTACTATAAACTAAAAAGGGTCCTATTTCATTATTTTGTCAGTGGCAAAAAGAGCACCCTTTTGTTGAAGCCATTTTCAGGTCATTCTCCAAGTTATGCTTTCCATTAGCTCTTTTACCAGAGTATGTTGGCAGATACCTGTGATTAGGGATTTTGTTTTCAGCTTATCCATAGGTGATTCCTTAGTCACTTTAGCTCTGTTTAAAAATTGTCTTTGTAGCTGTTTGCAGTATTCTGAAGTGATGTTCTCTTCTGCTGTGTGTCCTCCACTTTTACTTCTTTATACTTGGTCATCACAATTAAATCATACACATTCTGTAAATTGAAGATTCTTAATTTTCAGCTGTTCTTGTGTTCACTTGCACATTTAACTATGAAATTCACAAAACTTTTAACCATGACATTCACAAAACTTTTAACCATGACATTCACATAACTTTTAACCATTACATTCACAAAACTTTTAACCATTACATTCACAAAACTTTTAACCATGACATTCACATAACTTTTAACCATTACATTCACAAAACTTTTAACCATTACATTCACAAAACTTTTAACCATGACATTCACATAAACTTTTAACCATGACATTCACATAACTTTTAACCATGACATTCACATAACTTTTAACCATGACATTCACAGAACATTTAACTATGACATTCACATAACTTTTAACTATGACATTCACATAACTTTTAACCATTACATTCACAAAACTTTTAACTATGACATTCACATAACTTTTAACCATTACATTCACAAAACTTTTAACCATTACATTCACATAACTTTTAACCATGACATTCACAAAACTTTTAACCATGACATTCACATAACTTTTAATCATGTCATTCACAAAACATTTAACCATGACATTCACATAACTTTTAATCATGTCATTCACAAAACATTTAACCATGACATTCACATAACTTTTAACCATGACATTCACATAACTTTTTACCATGACATTCACATAACTTTTAACCATAACATTCTCAGAACATTTAACTATGAAATTCACATAACTTTTAACCATGACATTCACATAACTTTTAATCAGATCATTCACAAAACATTTAACCATGACATTCACAAAACTTTTAACCATGACATTCA